AGCCCCATCAGCCTCTGGCTCCGCTGCTAGATATCCAAGTCACAGAGACATCCAGCCAGCTGGTAACAACGAGAGGCATTATTTATTTATCTATTTATTTATTCGATTTATACCCCACCCGTCTAGAACAAAGTGGGCAGCTAACCATAAGATATAAAAATGAAAACAATATACCGTATTTGCCGGCATATAAGACGACTCGGCATATAAGATGACCCCCCAACATTTCCACTCAAAATGTAGAGTTTGTTATATACCTCCCGTATAAGACTACCCCCTCTTCCGCATGCGTGATTCTGCTTTGGCTGCATCTTGGGGAGAGTTCGTTTTGCCGCTTTTGGTTCCTTTCGCTGGGAGAGAGCAAGGGTTTGCTGGAAGAAGGACAGCATCGGCGCCGAACAGCTGACCGTCAGGAACCAGCAGAGAGGCGGCAGCCATTTTGAGAGGCAGCAGCCATGTGGTCACATCTCAAAATGGCTGCCGCCTCTCTGCTGCTTCCTGATGATCAGCTGTTCGGCGCTAGAGTCTGGCTGTTCTGATGCTACCAAGGAGGAGCGGGGCTCCGTCGTAAGTCGAAATGTTCGCAGGTAGGGGTGTTCGTAAGTGGAGGCACCACTGTATCTTGCAAAGAGGTTAGAAGGTTGGAGACTTCCAAGGTGATAGGAAATAATGTTTGCCTAGGAAAAGGTATTGTGTTGTAAGACTGTCCAGGTGCCGGAATCCAGTTTGCATAAGATGGGTCGTATTTGCTTGAGGGGAGAGAGAAAAAACCCAGCTGTGTCTGAAATACAAGAAATAAATAAACGAACGAACGAACGAACGAACGAACGAACGAACGAACAAACAAACAAACAAACAAACAAACAAACAAATAAATAAATAAATAAATAAATAAATAAATAAAGATAACCTGCCCTGGCGAAGGAAAACCCAGCCAGCCTTATTCCTTTACAGAGACTCTTTGAGGGAACAAAAAACATGTACATAGATGTATAAATCTGGCTGTTTTTTATCTTTCCAAACTGTATTCTCTGTGATCTGATTAGAGGTGCAGTTCTTCTTGCGTGTTTCATGTAGTGCCTGATGGTCCCTTCAGGGTCCCCCTGGTTCCTGGAGAAGGTCTGAAGACGACATGGACTTCCCTTTGCCAGCGGTCCACCCAACTCTGAGGAAGAGCCCAGCATCCTGCCCAAGAAGGGCGGAGGGCGGCCCAGAGGTGTGAAGGAAGCGGGCGCCGGTGGGAAGGGCCGGTGGGACTCTGAGCTCGAGACGAAGCCGAAACCTTGAGGGGGAGGCGGCTGGAGGAGACGCTGTGGTGGGTCTGGACGAGGAGGAGGAGGAGAGAGGAAGGTTGGGGGTAAAGATACAGGGCCCTGCAGTTTGGGTGGTTTGCACTGCTAGAATCTGCTATACAGTTATCGAGAATCACTGCTACAGACTTGAAGAAAATACATTGGCTATAAATGTATAGAATTGCTAATAATAGCCTATATGGTCATGTTTCAAGTTTCAAGGAGAAGCGATTTCCTCAATTCTCTCTTTTTGAAAGCTTAGGAAAGCGTTTTATTGTGCTAGCAGAGAAAAAATCAGAACACACAGAGAACACGTCTATAATAAAGAAATTCTCAAGAAACAAGGATGTGTGTGTAGTTATGTAACACAAACACACAAAGGGCCATAAAAGAGGACTTTAACTTGATATGCCTTCAATGTTCTTCTTCTCAAGGTTACATTCCTTTGGCTCTTGGTTGATTTTCTCCATGATAAGCTTGTTTTCTTTACTCAGGGAAATGCCTGGGTTTAAGTCCCTCGGACGGTTTGATGATTCTGTTTGCTAGGGGTAGGGAGATGTGAGCTTTTATGCATCTGAAGGAAGGATTTTGGATGGTGTCAGCTGAGCAGCGGATTTGATTATTTTATATTATTTGAACTTCTTTTATAACAGCTATGGCTACACAAACAATTTTCTCTTGCCTTGTAGTGCGATCTTTTGGGAACAGGTGCTGGACTGCAGTTCTCCTCCTTTAGCCATCCTGGCCTTCGGCAGCTGCTCTTCAGTCTCCGGAAGGAGGGGGGAGCTGTCCCCGTGGCCCCTCTCTAGGTCCGTGGTTCCCAACCCTGTGTCCCCAGATGGTCCTGCACGGCAGCTCCCAGGAATCCTAGCCAGCACCGCCAACAAGGAAGGCTTCTGGGAGTTGTAGTTCAAAGGACATCTTGGGACTCAGGGTCGGGAACCACTGCTCTAGACTCTTTCCGTAATATAACTATGTCTGCAAGCTGTGGTTGTAGCCCAGGAACACCTGGTGGATTGGGCACTTTCCCCCCTGGACGAGAAGGAGCAACCCCCTGAGGGGTACCTGTCCACACTTTTGGACAAAGACATTTTGAGATGGAGCAGAGGAAGGCCCTTCAGGAAGAGCCACAGGAGGGGAACGCTCCCAGAAGAGATTCTGAAAGAGTCGGTCTGTTGGGGCATCCAAAAAGCACAGCGATCACCAAGAGCCAGTGTGGGTTTCTCAGATTCCGGTTGTGTGTTTCAGGGACAGAGTTGCAAGCTTGATTCTTTGGGAGAACTCAGTGGGTCTTGGGTGTCTTACTAAACCACAGACTAAACGTGGGTCAACACTGACCAGGATAGTAAGAGGTCTGGAAACCAAGCTCTACCAGGAACAATTGAGGAGTTAGGTACATTTAGCCTAGAGAAGAGATTTAGAGGTGATCTGGTCATGATCTTCAGATAGCTTTGGGACCATCAAGAAAGATAGGCCAGGCTTTGTGGCTGCTGTTGTTGCTCTAGCGGGTAGGGCCTACACCAAGGAGTTCAATGTGTTTGAAACACAGATGGCCATGTTTCTCTTCCTGCCTGCTTCCAGGCAAAGATGCCCAGGGTGTTTCTGGGCGTTTGGCAGAGGATCCTCTGTTCACTTCCCAACACTGGCTTTACTGACATTTTGGCCCGAAGGTCTGTATCAAGGACCAGCGTTCCTTACTGACCACTTCTGCAGAGAATCAGCCACCAAGGAGCGGGAAGGATCACGTCTCCATGGGTGACCACAATCAGTAGCAAAGAGGAAGTCCCAGATGGAAGCCAAGCCCAAAGGAATGATTGTGTCCCACCTCTGGGTTGAGCCCATCTCTCTGTTCACGTGGCTTGCTTTCCAGAGGCAGGCAGGATCCACCCCCTTCAAAGAAGACTTAAAAGGGCTCACTCAGAAGTGAACCACGGAGATCTTCCTGCCCTCCTGAAAGCAAGGAGCTCTGATTGCCGGACCACCAAGAAAGGCAGCCAAGCAACAGAGACCAGGTGAGTTTCGGAGTCTCTTGGGACACCAAAATCTCAGAGATCCACATTATTCTAAATCAACCCACATGTGTGAGAGAAGTAAACAGACAAATCACACACACAGAGGGAGAGAGTCAGCTTGCTTTTGGTATGTACACATTTCTTTTGAACTCCTTCTGTTTATCCAAGGCCTCTCTTCCTTCCTTGCTGCCTTGGTTCCCTTGTCCTGGAACTGCTCTAACAGTTCAGAGGTTTTTGTGTGATATGCGGCTAAAAGTTGGCTTTCTGTAACTTGAGCCGATTATGACGTGTCCCACACTCTGGAATGATTAAGAACAAACCTTCCTCCTTCTCCTCTGTACGACTATCTTTTGAGTGCTATCCGATTTCCCCTCACTCTCCTTTTCTCAAGGTTATACCTGCCCAGATCTTTCAATCTTTCCTCCTAGGGCTTGGTTTCCAATTCTCCTGATTCATTCAGATATTCCACCCAATTTTGTCTCACCCACAAATTTGATAAGTGTTCATCCAAATCATTAATAAAGATGCTCAAGAGCACCGGGCCTAGGACTGAGCCTTATGGTGCCCTCCTCTCCCTTTCCATTCCTCTCCTGAACAGTGTGGGATGGCGGAGAAGGCGATCTGGCCTCCCCAAAGTCCTTGGTTTCCTTCCCAGAGCTTCAAAGTCTGATATGATTTCTTCCTCTGGGCTGTGTCATTTCCCCCCCCCCCACACACACACACATAAGGGTGAGAAGCAAGAGATATGCATCTGTGGGTTTTAAAAGTGATGGCAATCCTTCTGCCACATCCCATCATCCATTCTCAGGATCTCCCTGGCCTATTTCAGTTTTCCTCCCACTCAGAAGGGGAGTCTCCTTCTACTACCACGACTCTCCTCTTCTTATTTTTGTCAGGCGTAGGCTCAGTGACTCTGCTTGGCTGAGCTTCAGCCTCCCTCACGCCCTCCCTGCAGGGTCTCCTGTCTGTCTTCCTCTCCATGCCGCCTGGCGGACCCCTCTCCAAGAATCTGCAAAGTGGTTCTGCATTTCCACTGGTGACGAGTGCCCTCTCCTTCTTTTGATCCCGACTGGGACTCTTTTCCGTGGTGCGTTCTCAGTTAAGTGGGTTCTCTCCTCAGCATTCTCCGCCCTCCCCTTTGTCTTGATGTTCTTCCCCCATCAACCTGCCTCCATTTGTGGCAGCAGCTGCTCAAGAGTTCTGTCTGTGTCCCCTTCATCTTCTCTTATAGCCCAAAGCTCTAACTCACTCCTCCAGTTCTTTCACTTTTTCTTCCAAAAATGCTAGCCGTTTGCACTTGTGGCCTGTATCTGCAGTGTTGTTCTCGGGCACAAAAACAAGCACTGCACACACTTTACAGGTCACCCCCACTAAAAGGTCTCTTTCCTCCACAGTTCCTGTTACCATTTTGCTTTCTTCGTTTGTCTATGAGTGCCCTTTCCTTTGTCTTCCCTTCCTCTGAAGGATGCTGGGAAAGGTGACTGATATGTAACTTTCTGCCTTTGTCTCCTTGATCTCCCCCACCCCCTTTTTTTGTTTGGTTGCTTCTTCCAGTAGACCCTTTCTTTGCTCCCTTTCCTGACAACCTTTCATCTGTCAAACTCTTGTTCACTCTCCCTGGTGGCTCACTCCCTGGGATCTGTCTTGATTCCCCTGCTGTCCTCTTGTTAGGAGTCAGCAAACAGAAATCAGCCCCATCTAAAGGATCACTGGAAAGTTTAAGAAGAGGTTTGACTCGATTTTCACTCCCACTACATTGATCCGGATGCTCTCAATGGGACAGTTCATCTCCTCCTCCGGTATTTATGTGCAGGAATGTGTATTTTCCTACATATACTGCCACTCCACCTTCCTTTCTAGTTTTTGTGTTCTTTTTGAACAATTTATATCTTTCAATGGCTGTAGGGCCCCATCAATGCCCCCCAAGCATAGTTGGGGTAAAATACAAAAGTAAACCAAATGCCAAATAGGAACTCGGTAGTTGGAGTCTCCTACCGATGGCTCAATCATCGGTAGGAAAAACAACTTGCAGAGTTTTCACAGAGACACGACGTTGTAGTGATGGGAGATTTCAGTTATCCAGATATATGCTGAGAGGCAAATTCTGCCAAGTCTGGCCCTTCCAAGAAATTCCTGGCTTGTGTGGCTCATCATTTTCTCCTATAAAAAGTGGAGAAAGAAACGAGAGGATTTGCTTTCCTTGACTTGATTCTGACCAACAGAGAAGGCTTGGCGGAGGAAGGGGCAGTAAGGGGAACTCTGGGCGGAAGGGACCATGTCCTTCTAGAGTTCTTGGTTTCAAAGGAAAGCAGAGTGTAGCCGTACATGTCGGCTGGGTTTTTTGAAAGCCAATTTTAATAATCTCAGAAGAAGAATATGTAAGGTCCCATGGCAGGAGATCCTAACAAGAGAAGGAATCCAGGAAGGGTGGGAGCTTTTAAAAAAAAGAAATTCTAAAGGCACGACTACAAACAATTCCAACAAGAAAAAAAGGGGGGGCATCAGAAAAGGCCAGTGTGGCTTCACATAAAGCTCAGGAAGGACTTAAAAACCAAAAAAAGACATGTACAGGAAATGGAAAGAAGGCCAGGCCACAACGGAAGAGTACAGACGAGTAGCTTTTGCAAGGATGGCAAAAGCTGAGAATGAGCTAAGATGAGCGAGAGATGCTAAAAGCCACACAAAACCATTCTTCAGGTACGTGCATAGCAAAAGAAAGAGTGGGTCAGCTACTCAGTGGGGACGAGACGATGGTGACAGATGACAAAGAAAAGGCAGATGTGGGTGAATTCCTACCTCAGCTCTACCTTCTCCCAAAGGACAGTCTAGACTCCTCCAGGCAAAGGTGAAATATAAAAGGAGGGGCTAGGATTACAGCTTGAGATCCACAAAGAAATAGTCAATAAGCACCTTATTGCTTCAAATGAGTCCAGATCCCTGGGGCCGGATGAACTGCCTCCGAGGATATTGAAGGAGCTGGCCGAAGAGATGGCAGTGCCCCTTATTTTGTCTTCTCTGTCTTGAACGATACTAGGAAAGTCCACTCCCTTGTTTCTTGGTCTCCCCTTCTCTTTTCTCACTTCCTCCAGTAGATCTTTGCTTACTACCTCAACCCCATCAAACTCTTTTTTTTTGTATTTTTTATTTTTTATAAGGGATAACAAAAAGGAAAAGGGAATTGGGATTGATGAGGAAGAGGGGAGACAATAACATACTTTCATCCATTCTGTACCTATTGCCATATCAAGATTTTAAATTATTCTATTTACTCTTTTCTGCCTTCTAGATTCAGTTCTCCTTTCAATATGTACTGTTCACAAGCTGCCTGTTGATTCTGTCCACTTGTTAAATAAATCCCATCTTTCTGTTGCCTTTTGCAAGGGATAGTCCTTCATGACTTCTGATAAAATGTCCATTTCGGCTATTTCCCCCATCAAACTCTTTTTAGCTCTCCCTGGTTGCTCACTCCCTGGGGTCTGTCTCAGTTTTATTCTCCTGCTGTGCTCTTGTTAGGAGTCAGCAAGCTGAAATCATCCCCCATCTAAAGCATCACTGGTGAGTTTAGGAAGAGGTTTGCCTTATGCACACATATGGCTTTCTGGTGCTCCTCCTTGACTGTCCTTCCCAGCACCACAGGCCATCTTCGTAAGGGAGAGAAATACATCTCACCGCCCTCTCTCCTTCTCCTTTGCAGGATGCCCACCCTCTGGACCTGGCTGTCGGCCCTGGCACTGTTGGTGGGGGCTGGGGCAAGCCAGAGTTGCAGACCGGAGCTGCAAGGCATTGGTAAGCACTGGGGAAATTGGAGTGGAAGGGGGGAAGGGGCTTTTCTGACAACTGAAATCGGAACAGCATCTTTGTGAAGAGCAAAGACCATCTTTCCCTTCTACCCCCACAATGAAACACTCCAGGTGAACAGCACACATGTTGCTTGTTGGTGTATTTTGCTCAATGCACAAGGTCCAGAACAAACAAAACATAAGCAGTCCTTTTAAGAAGGCAGCTAAGGCTGTGTTTTCAGAGGCAGCGAGAGAGAGCACCGTGGTTCTGACCATGCCAATTGGAAGACAGACTCCCACAAACAGATCTGTGTATGGGGTACAGAGCCTTGAAACCTTTCTTATTTGGACTACAAGTCTTTTGATTGCTGGATCCTAACAGCGTACAGTGGAGGATTACAGCTGAGTCAGATCCAGGGAGCTCACGACCAAGGACAGCTAGCAGGAGTTTGACACGGGAGAGATAGGAAGGAAAGGTAGGAATAAAAGGTTTACTGGCGGAAGGAACAAAAGCAAGGGAGAGACCAAGGAGACAGAGAAAGAGGTGTCTATATTAGTGGACTTTCCCAGCTATGTTCAGGCTAACAAAAGAAAGGAAAGGAAATTCATAGATGAACAGATCCAAGCAAAAAAAGTAACAGGGATTATGGAAAAAAGAGACACTTCAGTTGCGGTGACCTGCAAAGCGTTTGCAATGTTTGTCTACGCACCTGAATGCAACATGGCATACATGTGCAACAAGTGTAAAATGATGACACTCTTAGAAGAGAACTGGAACAGCATGGATCTAAAAGCTAGAAGGGAAGTTGAAATATACATTGACAGAGCTTGTGAGCCACAGCAGCTGCAGTTTTATTTTATTTCTATTATTTATCCATTCAACTTGTGTGCCACCCACACTCTGCAAGTCTCCGGGTGGCTACCGACATCAATTAAAACAATACAATTAAAACAAGCACACTAAAAACCAATACAGTTAAAACAAAAGCAAAAGCAATCTACAAAAGATCCATGACTATCAATTAACAATTTAAATTACAATTAAAATATAATTTTGAAGGCTTTCATGGCCGAGATCCAATGGATCAATTAAAAAATTAAATTACAATTAAAATGTAATTTTGAAGGCTTTCATGGCTGAGATCCAATGGTTGTTGTGGGTTTTCCAGGCTGTTTGGCCATGTTCTGCAGGTTTTTCTTCCTAACGTTTCGCCAGTCTCTGTGGCCGGCATCTTCAGAGGACAGGAGTCAGAACTTTGTCTGTGCTCTGGTGCAGTTTGTTGGATATTTGAGTATTTATAGCTGTGGGATCAGCTGTTGTCCTTTTCAGGTGATTGGGTGATTATGGTGATCAGTGTGTTTTTGTTGTGATAAGGGGAAACTATTATCTGTCACTGTGATTGATGGATGTCATGAGCTGGTCTTTTGTGTGCAGTGATAACTGGTCCTTGTGGCTGGGGAGAGTTTGTTGACCTTTTGCAGCCTGTATTTTTCAGTGCTGGGAGCCAGGCTTTGTTGAGTTTTAGACTTTCTTCTTTTTTGTTGAAGGCTTGCTGGTGTTTGTGGATTTCAATGGCTTCCCCGTGCATTCTAACATAATAATTGCTAGTGTTTTCCAGTACTTCAGGGCATGTTCAGCTACTGCCAATTTTTCTGGTTGTTTTAGTCTGCAGTTTCTCTCATGTTCTTTGATTAGGGTGTGGATGCAACATTTTGTGGTTCCAATATATACCTGCCACAACTGCAGGGTATCCGGTATACTCCTGCAGTGGTGAGGGGGGGGGTCCCTTCTGTGCTGACCATAACATTTGTTGTATTTTTGGGGTGGGCCTGAATACTGTTTGTAGGTTGTGAGGGGTTTTTTGAACCAAAAAACAACCCTCATGGCCTCCGTAAGAAACCAGCACTGGACCAATTTAGAGGAGGTTCAACTTGGAGCCAGACGTGTCCAGTGTGGTGAGAGGTTAGCGAGCAGTGCCTTTTATCTGTTTTTTCTTTTTTAATTGGTTGTTAGCAGTAGGTTAATTCTTCTTGATTGTTCCCTTGATTGTTCCCAAGGACTTTCACATAGATGATGCATGTCTGTCCATTACTGACTTGATTAGACGGCACTCTGTGTGGAATGTAATACAAATAACAACTCTCCCTATTCCTATTCCCCAGCCATTTCTCTCTTCAAATGAGGTGAGAGGGAGGGGGCTGCATGCTCCCCTCCTCCGCCATGTGCAAAGGGTGCCACCCAGCTAGACCTCTCATCCTTCTTTGCAACCTACATTTTGCAATCTACATTCATATTGTTAATTACTGGAGAAAATATTGCTATTAGAGTAGAGAAGACACAAAATTGGATGGAATTGCTAATAGCCTGAAAGACAGGAACAAAACTGAAAAAGACCTTGATAGGCTGGAGCCCTGAAAACAACAGAATCAAATTTAACAACCTGGGGTTCAATCCCAGGCAGCAGCTCAAGGTTGACTCAGCCTTCTATCCTTCCGAGGTCGGTAAAATGAGGACCCAGCTCGCTTGGGGGGGGGGCAATGTGTAGTAGCCTGTGGGGATTTTGTAGTTTAAAGTTCCGCAATGTGTAGCCTGCATAATTAAATTGTAAACCGCCCAGAGAGTGCTTGAAGTGCTATGGGGCGGTCTATAAACAGCACACATTGCCTTTGCTTTTGCTTTTTAACAAAGGGAAGCAAAAAGTTCTACAAAACAAGAACCAATTTTTTTAAGAAAAACCTCCCCCTCCTGCATCCTCCATGCTTTGCCCAAGCTGCTTCACTCTCCTGAGAAATGGGAAGCTTTTTCTTTGCTTGTCTGCAAAAGGGAAGGAAGAGGAGGTTTTGCATTTCTTTTTAATTGTTGCCCCCCCTGACACAGGACATCATGTGTTACAGAGGTTTGGATGGGCACAGAGGGGGCGATCGCCCTCTCTCAGATTTGCCTCCCCCCCCAGGTTTTTCCATCTATCATCAGGGTAGACCAGAGGGCTGGGGAGAAGAGGTTGCCATTGTATTTAAAAATCAGTGACGCCTGGGGCCGTAGCAACAATTAAAATAAAAATGGAAAACTTCCTCTCCCTTGGCCCCTGCAGGTGAGAGGACAGGAAACTTCCCATTCTTCAAGTTGGTTAAGCGGCTTCAGCAAAGGGAGAGCCAGTCAACCCCAGCAATTACACCCAACTGAAATGAACCAAAAGGGAGCAATTCTACCCCAACCAGAGAGAAAAAGAAAAGTAGACGCTGACAGGGACCGAAAAAGGTGCAGGTAGACATGAATGAGGGTTGGTTTGTGATGGCATGTATCTCGCATGGTTGTCAGGAAAAGGAAGAAATCCCCCCTCCATCCCAAATGTAGACCAAACAGCAGGACAAAGGCTCAAAGGCCTGTCTGATGATCGCACTCTTCATCTTTAAGGTGCCACAGCATTATTTTCACCTGTTTTTTGATTTCTTATGGTCTGGACCTGCTTGCGCAGACTGTCATGGCTCTTTTCTGGCAGACCTTGCTCCCCGCACACCACCCCCATGCCACCGCAGGCAACCTCCCTTTGCACCTTCTCCCTCCACCTCGTTCTCCGACAGGCTCTCACTCTTGCCCGGAGGAAACCATCTTCGTGGTCTTTTCTAAATCACACAGAATATTTATTAGTATTTATTTATTTAAATTATTTATGTCTTGCCTTTCTCCTAGTGGATGCAAGGCGGCTTACAGTAGGAAGAAACAAAGTTAAACATGAATTAATAAATGGCTACAGTATTTAAAAAGTGTTAAACAGATAAAACTCCCGAACACGACATCTCTCTCTGGCTGCCTCCCTCTAGGGTCCAACCTGGCCAGAGGATGTCCTGCTTTCCAGTCGTCCCTCTTCACCTCCGACTTCACCGAACCGAGCAGTGCGCTTGCAGGAAATGCCGTGGATGGGAACTGTGACGGCCACTGGTACGAGGGACGGTCTTGCAGCCACACTAAGTGGGAGCTGGATCCGTGGTGGTACGTGGACTTGGGCAGCCAGCACATCATCTCGACTGTGGTGGTGAAAAACCGAGGAGACTGCTGTGGCGAGAGAATCCGCGGAGCCCAAATCTACGTGGGAGACTCTGCCCCCACCCAGCGCACCAACAGCTCTTTGTGAGTCTCCGTGGTCTGCCTCTCCCTCTCCCGCTTGACCTTCAGCAGGAAACGTTTCCCAGGAAACTCCCTGGGGTTCCAAGGCATTGCAGACTTGCATTGCTGAGCAACCATTACCTGCCTTCCCCTGGCGTCTTCTTCTTGGGGGGGGGCACAAAACACCAACTTAAGATCCTGTGGTGTGTGGGCTGGTGACCTTGCAGCACAGGATAGGTCGGAGAGGACAGAGAAAGGGGGATCCTGCCTGCTCTTGGCAAGGAGACAGCGCGATGGAACGGTTGGGATCGACGTGGGTGAGGAAACAGGGATCAGAGTATCCTTCAAAACACATTCAGACCGGAGAAAAACTTGACGGCAGAGAACACACACATTGACGGAACCACCATACAAAAGGGTGGGAGAAAGCGGGTAAATAGATCAGTGATGGAGAGTTAGATCAATTTTATGAACCTCTCAATCAATTCAGGCGTTTTTCCCCGTGGAGTCTGATCCTCCCTTTCTCGCTGCAGGTGTGGGACCATCACAGACACCACCACAGGTTCCATCAGTACCTTCTGTTGCAATGGGTTCAAGGGACGCTATGTGAGCATCGTCATCTCCGGCCGGGAGGAGTTCCTCCATGTGTGCGAGGTGGAAGTCTATGGAGCCAGGGTGGCGGATCAGTGCTGGAGATCCCCAGAGGCCCGAGGGAACGCTTAACAGTTTAATTTTCTCCTACTCACCTTTTGCCTTTCACCTCCCTGATGACTGGGAAGGGCTGTGATTTCATCTGTAACCAAAAAACATCTCCCTGTTGGGAATCATAATTGTAAGGAGGGGAGCAGGAGGTTGCTTTGATGAAATTGGTAAATATAAAACAATAAAGAACCTCTGGACCAGCTTTCCTGGCCTCTCCTCTTTTTGTCTGCCTCACAAGGGCTAGATATATATTTGCCTGCAGCCCAGAAAGTGGCTGGAAAAGTCCTGGGAACTGCACTGGCCCCTTGGCTCTCGCCCACACTTGGTCTTCCATAGGTCACAGGAGAGGCTCCCAGTGCCCGGCCGTTGGTTCTCTCTGCCGGAGCCGTCCTCCTAGAATCACTGACCCACAGAGCTGGAAAGCTGTTTGCCCCAGGCTGGCTCCTCGAATCTACTCTCCCGATGAATCAGGAAACTGGCCACTCACACCCCCCCAAAGCAAGGCCCCTGTCCCTGCTGTTGTATCTTAATCCTCTTGGCCGACAGATAGATAAAATATATGTATATATGTATATGTATATATGCACATATATATATATGTAATGTGCATGCAGAAAAGGCAGACCCGCCCAAAGGGGGAGAGAAATAAGTTGATGCAGAAATACATTTATGTAGAGAAAAACACATATATAATTCTGTTTCAAGCGATTTCCTCAATTCTCTCTTTTTGAAAGCTTAGGAAAGCGTTTTATTGTGCTAGCAGAGAAAAAAAAATCAGAACACACACAGAACACGTCTATAATAAAGAAATTCTCGAGAAACAAGAATGTGTGCGTAGTTATGTAAAGAAAACACACAAAGGGCCATAAAAGAGGACTTTAACTCGATATGCCTTCAATGTTCTTCTTCTCAAGGTTACATTCCTTTGGCTATACATTGACATAATATACAGTATATGGCTGCGTTTCCAGTTACAATGACAAGGGATCTCCGGGCAAGAACGTCCATCTCTGGCGCATCACCATCATCCCCTCCAGCAGAGACAAACCAGGTCCTGGGTGTGTCCGTCTTGCGCTCACCAGGACCCCCTGGGCTGCTCCTAAAGGACCTAAAGGACCCCAGGACCCCTCCTCAGGCCAGAAGGGAGGCTGCGGATCCCCAGGATGGGCTGGGAACTTGGGGGGGGGGGCTGGCACATCTCTTCCCTCTCGGGCACCCCCCTCGCCTTCAGGGATGCTGGACTGCAGGAGGGAACTCCCCAGTTGGAAGGCAGAATCCGGATAAGCCCCCCCTTGGTTACTTGTGGGGGATGGGAGTCGCAATGGAATTTCAATCTCTGGAAGGGTACCAGGCAAAGATGCCTTGGTGCCGGTCCATCCCTAGGGACCACTGGGGATTCGCAGGGTCAAAGACAGATACCCATGTTTCTCTGCTCGCCTCCATCCAGACAAAGAATCCCAGGTTTTGGATTTTCTAACAAGAGCCAAGATCAATGGAACCAGAAAGAAAAGAGATTGGCAGACGCCATGGAAGCGGCCAGGAAGAGCTCCTTGCTCATGAGTAACAGGGCAAAAGGGTTAAATAAAGAGGCCCCATGAGGTAAGGCGAGAAGCCAGACGGAGGCCCTGATCACCATCCGCCACCATTCTGCCTGTTTACCACTTTAAAGACCTGAAGTCACATATATTTAAAATATGGTGTTTTTTTTGAGCCAACCGTGCTTCAGCCGGTCTCTTGAAATGAGTGCCCTGCTATGCCCGGTTACCTATTCAAATGCCTCACCTGCTGAATTTAACTAGGATAACACATTTGAAAGGGAGAAAAAACTCCTCCCCACAGCTTACTCTTCAGTAGGAGGGAACAAAGAACAGAGATCCCAACATGGTGAATGCAATTGCATGGCTTCCCCTACGGAAGATGCATGAAAAGGGGAAGGCAGGATCCGTGCAGAGGCTTTCATTTCCCATTGAGAGTCACAAACGCTTGTGGGGGATGGGAGTCGCAATGGAATTTCAATCTCTGGAAGGGTACCAGGCAAAGATGCCTTGGTGCCAGTCCATCCCTAGGGACCACTGGGCATTCGCAGGGTCAAAGACAGATACCCATGTTTCTCTGCTCGCCTCCATCCAGACAAAGAATCCCAGGGTGTTTCCAGGCTTTGGCACAGCATCCTAACCTCCCCTTTTCCACCATTCATATTGACGATTCTTAGGAATATTGACATGAGAGCAGAGCACCTTAATTGGGCACCCAGCCAGAGCAAACACCTGCTTTCCTCTCTTTCTGTTCCGAAGGTCTACCTCTGAAGGACCAGTGTTACTCACTGACAGCTTTTCTAGAGAATCAGCCACCGAGGCGTAGGAAGGGCCAGGTGTCCATCGGTGACCAGTCTCAGCAGGAAGGAGGAAGCCCCAGATTGAAAGCCAAGTCCCTAGGGATGATTAGGTCTATAGCCCAACTCTGGACTCAGCCCATCTCTCTGTTTGCATGGCTTGCTTTCCGGACGAAGGCAGGATCCGCCCCCTGAGAAGGGGCTTAAAAGGGTTCACTCAGAAGCAACTCCGGGAGGCAGTAGAAGACAGGAGGGCCTGGCGTGCTCTGGTCCATGGGGTCACAAAGAGTTGGACACGACTAAACGACTAAACACACACACACAGAAGCAAACCACGGAGATCTTCCTGCTCTCCTGAAAGCAAGGAGCTCTGACTGCCAGACCACCAAGAAAGGCAGCCAAGCAACAGAGACCAGGTGAGTTTTGGCATTTCTTTGGCTGGAATATCTGAAGCTCAGATGGTCACTTTTGTTCTAAGTCAACCCATGAAATGTAACGCGCGCGCGCACGCGCACGCACACACACACACACACACACACACACACACACACACACACACACACACACAGAGTCAGTTTTCTTTTGGTATGTACCCAATTTCTTTGAACGCCTTCTGTTTTATGCAAGCCCTTTCCTTCCTCCCTCCCTCCGTTTTTCTGTCCTCTCTCTCTCTCTCTCTCTCTCTCTCTCTCTCTCTCTCTCTCTTTCTCTCTGATAGCACTCTGGAATGATCGAGAACAGATCATGACTCTCCTCTGTAGCACAGCCTTTCAAGTAGAGATGGGCATGAACCTCGGTTCGGAGGTTCATGCTGATTTGTAATGCATTTACTTCCCACACCTCCCCAGCCAATACCCCTCCCACCAGCCGGTGTGCGCTCCTCTCCTCCTCCTTTTCAGCTGTTCAGGCTTGCCAGGCCCTTCTGTCTTCCACCGCCTCCCAGAGTTTGGTCAGATTCATGCTGGTTGCTTCGATGACCCTGTCCAGCCATCTCGTCCTCTGTCATCCCCTTCTCCTTTTGCCTTCACACTTTCCCAACATCAAAGTCTTTTCCAGAGAGTCTTCTCTTCTCATGAGATGGCCAAAGTCTTGGAGCCTCAGCTTCAGGATCTGTCCTTCCAGTGAACACTCAGGGTTGATTTCCTTCAGAATTGGGATATTTGTTCTCTTTGCAGTCCAGGGGACTCTCAAGGGTCTCCTCCACACCACAATTCAAAAGCATCATTTCATCGGCGGCCAGCCTTCTTTATGGTCCAGCTCTCACTTCCGTACATCAGTACTGGAAAGACCATAACTTTGATTATGCGGACTTTTGTTGGCAAGGTGATGTCTCTGCTTTTTATGATGCTGTTGAGGTTTCTCATCGCCTTCCTCTCAAGAAACAGGAGTCTTTTAATTTTGTGGCTGCTGTCACCATCTGCAGTGACCATGGAGCCCAAGAAGATAAACTCTGTCCCTGCCTCCATATCTTCCCCTTCTATTTGCCAGGAGGTGATGGGACCAGAAGCCATTATCTTAGGGTTTTTTTGATGTTGAGCTTCATACTGTTTTTTGCACTCTCCTCTTTCACCCTCATTACAAGGTCCCTTAATTCCTCCTCACTTTCTGCCATCAGAGTGGCATCATCTGCATATCGGAGGTTGTTGATATTTCTTCCGGCAATCTTAATTCCGGCTTGGGATTCCTCCAGTCCGGCCTTTCGCATGATGTATTCTGCATATAAGTTGAATAGGCCTGCCTGTCCAACAGTCCTACCAGTTTGCAATTACTGCACGTGCACACCGTGTGTTGTTCCCTGGCACAAAGACAAATGCTGCCCACCACCACTGAAGTTTCTCTTCCTCCCACATCCCCTGTTTTCTTCTGTTGGTCTTTATCTTCCCTGGCTTGAAGGATGCTGGGATGTGACTCTCTGCCTTGGTCGTCTTGGTCTCCCTTTTTCTTTTGTCACTTTCTCCAGGACACACACGTTCCTTGCTACCTTTCCTTATTAACTTTTCAAATACTTGAAAGGTAGTTCTAAAGAGGAGGGGCAGGATCTGTTTTCTGTCTTCTAGAGTGCAGGACAAGTAACAAAGGACTCAAGTTACAGGAAGTCAGATCTTATCTGAATATCAGAAAAAAAACTTCTTAACTGTTGGAGCAGTACGACAAGGGAACCAATTCCCTTGTGAGGTGGTGGGTGCTCTAATGCTCAAGATGTTCAAAAGAATGCCAGATTTGTTTTGATTTAGATTCCTGCCTTGAGCAGGAGGATGGACTGGATGGCCTTAGTCACCCTTTCCAACTCAATTATTCTATGATTACCTTTCCTTTATCAAAGCCCTGTTAGCTCTCCCTGATCACTCGCTCCCTTGGGTTCCTTATTAACTTTTCAAATACTTGAAAGGTAGTTCTAAAGAGGAGGGGCAGGATCTGTTTTCTGTCTTCTAGAGTGCAGGACAAGTAACAAAGGACTCAAGTAACAGGAAGTCAGATCTTATCTGAATATCAGAAAAAAACTTCTTAACTGTTGGAGCAGTACGACAAGGGAACCAATTCCCTTGTGAGGTGGTGGGTGCTCTAATGCTCAAGATGTTCAAAAGAATGCCAGATTTGTTTTGATTTAGATTCCTGCCTTGAGCAGGAGGATGGACTGGATGGCCTTAGTCACCCTTTCCAACTCAATTATTCTATGATTACCTTTCCTTTATCAAAGCCCTGTTAGCTCTCCCTGATCACTCGCTCCCTTGGGTCTCTCTCTCTGTTTTATTTCTTTGCTACGCTCTGCGTAGTGGTGGCGATGTGAGGGGCGTGGTGGCACTGTGGGCTAAACTGCAGAAGCCTGTGCTGCAGGGTCAGAAGACCAAGCAGTCGTAAGATCGAATCCACACGACGGAGTGAGCGCCCGTCGCTTGTCCCAGCTCCCACCAACCTAGCGGTTCGAAATTGGACAGTCATATGCCAGATTTGTTTTGATTTGGATTCCTGCCTGGAGCAGGAGGATGGACTGGATGGCCTTAGTGACCCTTTCCAACTCAATTATTCTATGGTTACCTTTCCTTTATCAAAGCCCTGTTAGCTCTCCCTGATCACTCGCTCCCTTGGGGTCTCTCTCTCAGTTTTATTTCTCTGCTACGCTCTGCTAGGAGTAAGCAAACATAAATTATTCCCATTTAAAGCATCACTGGAAAGTTTAGGAAGAGGTTTGACTTTTGCAAAATATGGGTTTTCGTAAGGGAGAGAAATACATCTCACCGCCCTCTCTCCTTCTCCTTTGCAGGATGCCCACCCTCTGGACCTGGCTGTCGGCCCTGGCACTGTTGGTGGGGGCTGGGGCAAGCCAGAGTTGCAGACCGGAGCTGCAAGGCATTGGTAAGAACTGGAGAAAATGGGGTTGTGGGCGGTGAAGGGGCTTTTCTGACAACTGGAACTGGAACAGCATCTTAATGAAGAGCAAGAGCCATGTTTCCCTTTGACCCTCAATGAAACACTGCAGATGAACAGCGTGTTCACACGTGTTGCTCGCAGGTGTATTTGGCTTTCTGCCCAAGACCTAAAACAGAAAAGCAGTCCTTTCTAAGAAGGCGGCAAAGTTTCCAGAGATGGCCAGACTACTCTGGGGTCATTATCCTGCTGGTTGGAAGACAGACGCTCACAAACAGATCCAGGTATAGGGCACAGAGCCATGAAGCCTTCCTTGTTTGGACTCCAACTCCCAGGGTGCCTCAGCTATCATGCTTAAGGGCGCCAACTGGTTTGGCTGCTGACTGGGGGGAAATGCGGAGATTTTATCAGCTCCAAAGATCTGGGGGGAAAGCCCTACATTCCCTGGATACTGCTTTCCAATTTTTTTTCACCCCTGGCTTGCCCAGGTAGCACCCTTTCGAATCAGTAACCCCAGTCAACTGTAATGCCTCATGTGGCATACAGCTCTGATCTCACCTGTCCGTCACAGCTGGCCAGGGGAACCTCAGCCAATGAGAGGACGGAGGGTGGTGCAGAAGTGGGAGGAGCTGGGTTATATAAGGTGTGTGTGTTGTGTGAGAGGAGATTAAGATTGGAAAATGAGAGTTTAGAGAGATTGATAGGGAGAGTGAGAAAGAGCCTAATTGATGTTATACCTGTGATTCACCCTTTTTATTTTTGTACAAATCAATAAAATCTTTATTTGTTTGAAAGTAACACTTGTCCTTTTGAGTTTTAAGGATAGGTTGGTGGCAGCAGTTTTGAAGGGAAGTAGTGAGCACTCTTGGAGGCCTGGATTAGTAGAGGCTTGAGAGTGGCTTGCTACACCTCAGAACCAAAACCACCCCTGCAAGGTAGAGCCAAAGGCCCCTCAATGTCATAACAGCTGGAAAGCTTTCCATTTCTCAAGATTGTTGACCAGCTTCAGCAAAGAGATAGTCAGCCAGGGAATTGACTTGTTGCTTCCATGAGCTTCCAAACCTCTGAGTCGAAGTTATATCGCAGCAACAATCATCTAATTCCTAGAAAGATTCCATCCTGTTAAAACTCTGGGCTGGTTGATCTGATGTTGCTTGTGTGGAGCATTCATGTGAGTCTCTGCCAAAGCTTATCTCTCAACTTTGGCTAGTGGGGGAGGAGAATCTGGCGGCGATTCAGCTGTCTGTGATACTAATTGCCCAGCATTTTCCTCAGCTGTAATTAACACCTCTGATTCCAGATCTTCTTTTGCTGAACTCATGACACCAGGAAAAAGAGAAAACCGGCCTGTCCCCACCGTGGACCAAACTGCAGGACAAAAACCTATCTAATCACACCTGTCCTCTTTCAGGCTCCACAGCATTCCCCCCTCTTCTTTGTTATTTGTTTTTGTCTGGGTCGGCTTGCACAGATCAACATGACTACTTTTCACCCTCACCCTCACCATGCCACTGCAAACAATACCATTTTCCCCAAAGAATATTGATTATTATTTATTGATCTGTTGTCTTTCTCCTAGAGGATCCAAGGTGGCCTGCCCTACTAAGAAACACAGTTAAAAGCTAAATAATAAATGATTACAGTATTTGAAAAAAGCCTTAAACATATATTGTATTAAAAACTGACAAATAAGATTTCTCTCTCCACCTGCTTCCCCCTAGGTTCCAACTTGGCCAGAGGACGTCCGGCCTTCCAGTCCTCCCTCTACACCGAAACACCCTTTGCAGTGGCAGGAAATGCCGTGGATGGGAATTGTAATGGGGATTTTAACAATGGACGCTCTTGCACCCACACTAATCTGGAGCCGGGCCCATGGTGGTACGTGGACTTGGGCAGCCGGTACGTCATCTCTACTGTGGTGGTGAAGAACCGAGGAGATTGCTGTAATACAAGACTCAGTGGAGCCCAAATCCACGTGGGAGACTCTGTGCCTGTCCTTCGGCCTGCCCACAGTCAATGCAATTCTTTGTAAGTCCCGATTGTTTGCCTCTACCTTTCCTGCTTCACCCTCGGCAGGAAATGTTTTCCAGGAAACACCCTGAAGTTCCAAGGTGTTCAGACTCGTGATGATGAACAGCTGGGATCCATATTAAGGGCTAGTGAGGAAACAGGGATCAGAGTTTCCCTCAAGACACATTCGGACTGGAGAAAAACAGGCAGGGGCACCTCCTAGGAACCCGTCGCTCAGCCCTGAAGCTCCCTCATTTCCTCAATACCTGCAGTTGTCCCACTGAGGCGCCCGCCTCACCTCCCCTGCCTCGTGGTCAACCCCCTGCCCTTTCCCCTCAGACTCTGCCCTCTTCATTCCCATGCCTGACCCACGGAGACGGCTGCTCTCAGGGTCCCTCTCTGTGCCTCCGGTCCCTTCTGTATATTTGGACATTCGAAGCATCTTCAGACAGCAGCCGTCGGTCCCCTGACTCTCTGTCAACGGCCAGGCCAATGCCTGGAGCCACGGAAAGAGCAGCCACAGGAAAGGGTGGGGGGAGGTTGGTAAATGGATCCGCAACGGAGGGCTAGATCGTTTCTATGCAGAGCGATTGCCGGCGGGGTCTGATCCTGCCATTCTCTTTGCAGGTGTGGGACCATCACAGGCGACATCCCAGGAGGCGTCAGTACCATCTATTGCCGAGGGCTCAAGGGGCGCTACGTGAGCATCTTCGTCCCCCACCGTAATGAGTACCTCAGTCTTTGTGAGATGGAGGTCTATGGGACCCTGGCAAAAGATCAGTGTTAGAGATTGCCAGGGCCCAGAGAATTGCAAGTGGTGACACAGCCATTTCCTGTTCTGCAATTACTTTTCTCGTAATCATCTTTTGCTTCCCACGTTCCTCTCATAAGTGTCCTCTCCTTAGAAATCAACTTGATTCTAAATGGCTTTTAATATTTTATTGTACTATATCTTAATGGAGTATATTGTTTATACCGCTTTATATTGTTTTATCCGATGTATGTTGCAATGGCTTGTGTGCCATGCAATAAACTTATTTTGCTTGCTTGCATGCTAACTGAGAAGGGCTGCGATTTCATCTGTAGCAAAAATAAGTCCCTATTTGGGATCACAAGTGAAAGGGGGTGAAAAGCAGGGGTTCAGTGTGATGAAACTGGCAATTGCAGTACCATAAAGATCCTCTGGACCAGCTTCCTTGGCTTCTCCTCCTTTTCTCTGCCTCACAAGGTCTATAATTTTGGGGTTTTTTGCCTGCAGCCCAAAAAGTGGCAGATGTTGGCTGGAAAAGTCCTGGGAACTGCCGTGGCCCCTTGGCTCTCCTCCGCTCTGGGTCCTTCAGGTCTCCTGGGAGAGGCTCCCAGTGCCCAGCCATTGGGTCTGTCTGCCGGGGCCATCTTCCTAGAATCACTGACCCACAGAGCTGGAACAGACCTTCCCTCCCAAGGTTGGTTCCAGATGAATCAGAAAAAAAAACCCACTCAATCTCTGATTAGAAACCCTCCCCCCCCCCCATGGAAGACAGGCCATTCTATTGCCCATCGAAAGGGCCTTCCTCATATTGAGTCAAAATATTGCCTCCCTTGTCCTTTGGAGCCATGACTTGGGAGTCTTAGCCCTGGAGCAGCAAAACACAAGCCTCTCTCCTCCAGACTGACCCTACCCAGCTCTCTCTCCACTACCTCTCACAGCACTGGGTTTCCAAATTTTTTACCATCCTGGTTATCCCTCTTCTGTACAGATTCCAGTTTGTCGATAGGAAATGACAGGCCAGTTAGCCTAATCTCTGTTTCAGGGAAGACGGTGGAAAGCCTCCTCCGAAATTAAATCTTAAAACACAGAGAAGGACAAGCCCTGCTGAGGGAGAATCAGCATGGCTTCTGTCAGGGTCAGTCTTGCCTCACAGACCTTTTAGAATTCTTTGAAAAGGTCAACAGGCATATGGATGAGGAATAACCAGTGGATCTTGTCCAAAGGTAAGTGGCTGTGGTCGTCCACGTTGGGCCTCAAACAGTCAACCCAAAGATTAGCCACGGCCCTTTGGCATAAGTTTTTGTGGGCTCCAACCCGCTCCTGTGAACCACGCGTCAGAAGACGCAGTCTGTAGACATTCTCAAAAGTGATGCCAAATAAGCCTTGTGAGTCCTCAAAGGTGCCGCAAGAGCCAGATGTATGTTTGTTAAATCCCTGAAAGGCAGAGACCACAAGGGCATGATCTTGAATTGAAATGCCTTAAAGGAAAACACCAGGAATTTATTGGCAAGCCGTCCTGGCTCCCGGGCGCGAGGGCCTCTCATCTTCTTTTTTTTTTAATAATTTTTTTTTATTTTTTAATATAAGGGATGACAGAAAGGAAAAGGGAATTGGAATTGATGAGGAAGAGGGGAGACAATAACATACTTCCATCCATTCTATACCTATTGCCATATCGAGATTTTAAGTTATTATAGTCCTTCATGACTTCTGATAAAATGTCCATTTCGGCTATTTCCCGTATCTTTTCAATAAGATCTTCTTGCTTCGGTACCGTTGGTCTTTTCCAATTTTTAGCATATAGAATTCTGGCTGGCGTAACTATGTATATAACTGTATAATCCTTTGACTCATCTATATTTTCAGGTATCATACTCAATAAAAACAGTTCTGGGGTTAATGGCACCTTACAGAGCAATATTTGTTCCAACATAGCATGCACTCTTTTCCAATATTGTTTCACTACTCCACATGACCACCACATATGATAATAGCTTCCCACTTGTGTTTCACATTTCCAACACTTATTTGATACATTTGTGTACATC